CTAGCCCAGGGCTCGTGGTTACTTAATGCATAACGATAATCATGAATATTTAAAAACAAAATTGGAGTGTCACTCTGTCACCCAGGCTGGAGTGCAGTGGTGCAGTCACAGCTCACTGCAGCCTTGGGCTCAAGCAATCCTCCCATCTCAGCCTCCCCAGTAGCTGGGACTGCAGGCACGCACTGCCAAACCTGGCTAAATTTTTTTTTCTTTTTTGAGACTGAGTCTCTCTCTGTCACCCAGTGTGGAGTGCAGTGGCACGATCTTGGCTCACTGCAACCTCTGCTTCCCGGGTTCAAGTGATTCTCCTGCCTCAGACTCCTGAGTAGCTGAGACTACAGGTATGCGCCACGACGTCCAGCTAGTTTTTGTATTTTTAGTAAAGATGGAATTTCACCATGTTTGTCAGGCTGGTCCTGAACTCCTGACCTTGTGATCCACCTCAGCCTCCCAGAGTTCTGGGATTACAGGCATGAACCACCGCACCTGCTTGCCTGGCTAATTTTATTTTTTGTAGAGATGGGATCTCACTATGTTGCCCAGGTTAGTCCACCTGGGCTCAAGCAATCCTCCTGCCTTGGCCTCCCAAAGTGCTGGGATTACAGGTGTGAGCCACCACACCCAGCCACTATTTTTTTTTTAGACAGTCTCACTCTGTCACCCAGGCTGGAGTACAGTGGTGCAATCATGGCTCACTGCAACCTCCACCTCCCTGGTTCAAGCAACTCTCGTGCTTCAGCCTCCCAAGGAGCTGGGATTACAGGTGTGTGCCATTACGCCTGGCTAATTTTTTTTTTTTTTTTTTGTATTTTTAGTAGAGATGGCGTTTCATTATGTGGGCCAGGCTGGTCTCAAACTCCAGGCCTCAAGTGATTGGCCTACCGAAGTGCTGGGATCAGAGTCATGGACCACTGCGCCTGGTCCCAGATGCTATTTATTTATTTATTTATTTTTCTTTATTTTTCTTTTATTCTTTTCTTGACACTATTTTTTAAGAGTACAGAATTGAAGAATCTTTTTTTTTTTTAAGACTTACTCTGTCACTAGGCCGGAGTGCAGTGGCGTGATCTCAGCTCACTGCAAACTCTGCCCCCTGGTTTCAAGCAATTCTCCTGCCTTAGCCTCCTGAGTAGCTGGGATTACAGGTGCCTGCCACTGCGCCTGGCTAATTTTTGTATTTTTAGTGGAGACGGGGTTTTACCATGTTGGCCAGGCTGGTCTCAAACTCCTGACCTCAGGTGATCCACCCGCCTCCACCTCCCGAAGTGCTGGGATTACAGGTGTGAGCCACCACACCCAGCTGAAGAATATTTTGATAGGGAATTAAAAACACTCATTAAAGTAGTCAGAATAGTATAATGGACCGTAGCCCAGACACCATCAACCCCTACTCAACCTCCCCACCCTGTGCCCACCCCATTTGCCTCCCTGTCAGATATTATTTTGCAGCAAACTTCAGTTATCTTATTATTCCATAAACATTTTGTTATATGTCTCTAAAACATACAAACTCTTTTTTTTTTTTTGAGACAGGGTCTCATTCTGTTGCCCAGGCTGGAGTGCAGTGGTGTGATCATGGCTCATTGCAGCCTCTACTTCCTGGGTTCAAGTGATCCTTCCACCTCAACCTTCTGAGTAGCTGGGACCACAGGCATATGCCACCATACCTAGTTAATTTTTAAATTTTTTGTAAAAATGGAGTCTCACTATGTTGGCAGTATGGTCTTGAACCCCTGAGCTTCAGTGATCCTCCTGCCTTGACCTCCCAAACTGCTGGGATAACAGGCATGAGGTGTCACACCTGGCCCAGACTCTTTAAAAACCTAACCAGGCCAGCGTGGTGGCTCACACCTGTAATCCAAGCACTCTGGGAGGCCGAGGCAGGTGGATCATCTGAGGTCAGGGGTTCAAGACCAGCCTGGCCAATGTGGTGAAACCCCATCTCTACTAAAATTACAAAAAATTAATCAGGCGTGGTAGTGGGTGCCTGTAGTCCCAGCTACTCAGGAGTGTGAGGCAGGAGAATCACTTGAAGCTGGGAGGCGGAGGTTGCAATGAGCCAAGATTGCACCATTGCACTCCAGCCTGGGCAACAAGAGTGAAACTCTGTCTCAGAAACAAAACAAAATAAAATAAAAACCTAACCACAATACCATAGTCACACTCCAGAAACTTCTGAAAACTTTGCCAATAATTTTTTAATATCTCTAGGTTCCAGTTCAGCCAAGAACTGTGGAGTTTTGGAATCATATCTGAATTTGACTGTCACCTCAATTCCTTGCCAAGGAACCTTGGAAGTTGTTTAAATTCTTTTTTTTTTTTTGAGACAGAGATTTGCCCAGGCTGGAGTGCAATGGCACGACCTTGGTTCACTGCAACCTCCGCCTCCTGGGTTCCAGCGATTCTCCTGCCTCGGCCTCCTGAGTAGCTGAGATTACAGGCACTTGCCACCATGCCCGGCTAATTTTTGTATTTTTAGTAGAGACGGAGTTTCACCATATTGGCCAGGATGTTCTCGACCTCCTGACCTCAGCTAATCTGCCTGCCTTGGCTTCCCAAAGTGCTGGGATTATAGGCATGAGCCCCTGCACCTGGTCTTTTTTTTTTTTTTTAAGAGTCAGGGGTTTTCTCTTTTGCTCTGTTGCCCAGGCTGGAGTGCAGTGAGGCAATCATATCTCACTGCAGCCTTGACTTTCTGGGCTCAAGTGATGCTCCCACCTCAACCTCCCAAGTAGCTGGGACTACAGGCACACACCACCATGCCCAGCAAATGTTTTGTTATTGCTATTGTTGCAGAGATGAGGTCTCGCTATGTTGCTGATGCTAGTCTTGAACTCCTGGCCTTGAGTGATCCTCCCACCTTAGCCTCCCCAGTAGCCAGGACTATAGGAGCATGCTACTGTGCCTGGCAGCATCTGAAACTTCTTTCTTTCTTTGAGATGGAGTGTGATCTTGCTCTGTCGTCCAGGCTAGATTGCAGTGGCATAATCTCTGCTCACTGCAACCTCCGCCTCCCAGGTTCAAGTGATCCTCCTGCCTCATCCTTGAGAGTAGCTGGGATTACAAGCACCTGCCACTACACGTGGCTAATTTTTGTGTTTTTAGTAGAGATGGAGTGGGGGGGGGGGGTCTCACCATATTGGCCAGGCTGGTCTTGGACTCCTGACCTCAGGTGATTTGCCCACCTCGGCCTCCCAAAGTGCTGGGATTACCGTGCCTGACCAAGCATCTGACACTTCTATCCCTAAAAATAAGGTAAAATTATTAAATAAAGTATCATTATTATTCAATATAGTAGCTTCATTATTTCTGGCAGTAGAGCAGTGATTCTCAAGGTGGGGCAGTGAGGGAGGGGTTGACTCTATTCCCCAGGGGACACTCGGTACTGTGGGAAAATATCTGTGGTTGTCGTGATTGGAGCATGTGTGTGCTACTTGCATCTTGTGGGTGGCGGCCAGAGGCTGCTCAATACCTTACATTGGACAGGACAGGCCCCCCCAACAAAGGACAGTCTAGTCCTGCCAGGCGAGGAGGCACACACCTGTAATCCCAGCACTTTGGGAGGCCGAGGCGGGTGGATCACCTGAGGTCAGGAGTTCAAGACCAGCCTGGCCAAGATGGTGAAACTCCATCTCTACTAAAAATACAAAAAAAAAAAAAAAAAAAAAATAGCAGGGTGCAGTGACAGGTGCCTGTAATCCCAGCTACTTGGGAGGCTGAGGCAGTAGAATTGCTTGAACCTGGGCGGCGGAGGTTGCAGTGAGCCGAGATCACGCCATTATACTCCAGTCTGGGCGACAGAGCAGGACTCTGTCTCAAAAAAGAAAAAAAGTCTAGTTCCAAATGTTGGCAGTGTTGAGGTCAGGAAGTCCTGGTCTGGAGAGAGATTTCCTTAATGCTTGCTGGAACCTTGACCTTGGAGGCCAAACTGGGTTTGAGTCCCAACTCTACCACCTGTTGAGGGAAGCTGGCAGGAGTGATTTTTGTTTTTTATTTTTTGAGACTGAGTCTTGCTCTGTTGCGCAGGCTGGAATGCAGTCGCTTGGTCTCGGCTCACTGCAACCTCCACCTCCTGGGTTCAAATAATCTCGTGCCTCAGCCTCCCAAGTAGCTGGGATTACAGGTGTGCATCACCACGCCCAGATAATTTTTGTTTTTTTTTTTTAGTAGAGATGGGGTCTCACCATGCTAGCCAGGCTGGTCTTGAACTCCTGACCTCAGGTGATACATCCACTTCGGGCTCCCAAAGTGCTGGGATTAGAGGCATGAGTCACTACGCCTGGTGTTGGAGATTTTTTGTTTGTTTTTGAGACAGAGTCTTGCTCTGTTGCCCAGGCTGGAGTGCACTGCAATCTCTGCCTCCTGGGTTCAAACAATTCTTGTGCCTCAGCCTCCCAAGTAGCTGGGATTACAGGCGTGCATCACACGCCGAGCTAATTTTTGTATTTTTAGTAGAGATGGGGATCTCACCACATTGGCCAGACTGGTCTGGTCTGGAATGCCTGACCTCAGGTGATCCGCCCGCCTCGGCCTCCCAAAGTGCTGGGATTGCAGGCATGAGCCACCGCTCCTGGTCTCAGAGTTTTAATGGTGATTAATCATGGCTAATATCTTGCAGGCCCTGCCTGTGACGTAGGCATGGTGCTAGCCTCACTCACTATGTAAATACATTTCATTGTCTCGCCAAACTCCTGGGTTGGTGAGAAATTTCGAGTCCAGAGTCATGAAGCATCACAGGCAAGGACTTCACTTTTCTGTATCTCGTTTCCTTCATCCATGAAACAGGATCGTAATGTCCGTCTCGTGGGGTAATTATATGGACTGCTAATGCCAAATGCCACCCAACTGGCACCTCCTAGACCATCAGCAAATGGCATCTTTTACGAGAAGCCGTATCAGCCTGGCATACAATGGTTAACCACCAAGTCTGGGCAGAGTGCCCGGCTAAGCTGGTGCCCGAGTGCAAACAATTTCTTTCATTATCCCTGTTGCTGGGAGAATTGGGCAAGGAGCGACCCATGACATACCTAAGACAAAAGTTACTAGGATAGCCGGGGGCTTGTCTTCCGGGTGGCGCCAAGGCCAGGAAACTGTCCTCTCTAACCTACTTCCCCAGAGGAGTCTAAATTGGCCCTTCCACTACCAGCAAGGACAAAAGAGAGGCTGGAGCCCCCAGGGGCAGCCAGAGCGCTGATGCTGCAAAGGGCCTCTGTCCTTCCTGGAGAAGCCCAGTCTTGCTCAACTGTCTTCTTCGGCAACAAACAGAAGTTAAGAAAGAGAAATAGTCGTGGATGAACCTGTTGTTGGGATGATAAGTTACTGAGCACCTACTACGTGCCAGGCACGCCAACCTTACCAGACAAGATCCTTGGGCTCATGGAATTCACTTTCTCGTGGGAGAGAGAAACAATAAACACGTAGAAACATTATCAGCTGGTGGTAAGTACCATGACGAAAATTAAAATAGGGTGATGGCATTGGGAGTGGCCTAAGGGGTCACTACGCAGTCGAACAGTTGGGTGGTCAGAGACGGCCTCTCAGGAGGAAGTCACATTGAAGCTAAAATGTGAATGACATGAACAGATGCAGGATAGAGCATTCAAGTGCAGCACGTGCAAAGGCCCTGAGGTTGAAAGAAGCTAAATGCATTAGACTAGGCGTCCTTGAGCAAGGGGAATTCTGCCCCTTAGAGGACATAGCAATGTCTAGGGAGATTATTATTTTTTTTAATTTTACTATTTGAAATGGAGTCTTGCTCTGTCGCCCAGGCTGGAGTGCAGTGGTGCGATCTCGGCTCACTGCAACCTCCGCCTCCAGGTTTAGGCGATTCTCCTGCCTCAGGCTTCTGAGTAGCTGGGATTGCAGGTACATGCCACCATGCCAGCTAATTTTTTTTTTTTAGTTCATGTCTTTTATTAACTCGGTTATTTGTCTTCTGGTTTGTTAAAGCAGTAAGTCAGACAACATTTGCCACAATAATGTCTGTCAAAGTGGCTTGCCATAAACACTCCAGCACCACATTCATCAGAAGGGCATTCTCGACGAAGGCAACTAATTTTGCCATTCTCATCCACCTTGTAATATTTCAGGACAGCCAGCTTAACCTTCTTTCTCTTGTGCTTATTCTTCTTGGGAGTGGTGTAAGACTTCTTCTTCCTTTTCTTAGCACCACCACGAAGTCTCAACACAAGATGAAGAGTAGACTCCTTCTGAATGTTGTAGTCAGACAAAGTACGTCCATCTTCCAGTTGCTTGCCAGCAAAGATCAGTCTTTGCTGATCAGGAGGAATTCCTTCCTTATCCTGGATCTTGGCCTTTACATTTTCTTTCGTATCCGAGGGTTCAACCTCGAGGGTGATGGTTTTTCCCGTAAGGGTTTTCACGAAAATCTGCATTTTGGTGGCGGCCCTACGTGAGGCGCAGATGGCGGATCGAAAAGGAAGAATCGCCAGCTAATTTTTATATTTTTAGTAGAGACAGGTTTCACCATGTTGGCCAGGCTGCTCTCCAACTCCTGACCTTGTGATCCACCTGCCTCAGCCTCTCAAAGTGCTGGGATTACAGGAGTGAGCCACTATGCTCGGCTGATTTTTTTTTTTTTTTCTGAGATAGGGTCTCACTCTGTTGCCCAGGCTGGAGTACAGTGGTATGATCTTGGCTCACTTCAACCTCTGCCTCCCAGGCTCAAGTGATCCTCAGCCTTATGAATAGCTAGGGCTACAGGTGTGCACCACCACACCTGGCTAATTTATTGTGGAGATGGGGTTTCACCGTGTTGCCCAGGCTGGCCTTGAGCTCTTGGACTCCCAAAGTGCTGGAATTATAGGCGTGAACCACCATGCTCGGCCCTGGCTAATTTTTTATTTTGTGGAGATGCTGTCTCCCTGTGTTGTCCAGACTGGTCTTAAACTCCTGAGTTCAAGCAATCCTCCTGCCTCAGCCTCCCAAAGTACTGAAATTACAGGCATGAGCCACTGCAGCTGGCCCCTTAGCTGATTTTAATTTATATCCATTCACCATAACCTTTGAGTATCTATGAGTACTACAGCTTTTTTTGTTTTGTTTTATTTTATTATTTATTATTATTATTATTTTTTTTTGATGGAGTCTCACTCTTGTTGCCCAGGCTGGAGGGCAGTGGTGTGATCTCAGCTCACTGCAACCTCCATCTCCCGGGTTCAAGCGATTCTCATGTCTCAGCCTCCCAAATAGCCGTGATGACAGATGTGCGCTGTCATGCCCTGCTAATTTTTGTATTTTTATTAGAGACAGGGTTTCCCCATGTTGGCCGGGCTGATCTTCAACTTCTGACCCCAGGAGATCAGCCCACCTCAGCTTCCCAAAGTGCTGGGATTACAGGCATGAGCCACTGTGCCCGGCCTACAACACCATTTTTTAATTCTCCGAATCTTAAGGAATCATGGAACCTGAGAGGGTGCTCTTGGGGATCCCTCACTGGCAGAGTCTGTCCCGGGGGGACAAGGCAGGTAAGGGAAGTTGAGGCAGAGAGGATAGTAAGAGCAAAACACACAAAGGTTTGAAAACGCCCGACAGTCCTGCAGAATCAACATCACCTGTATTTTACAAACCTATCTCCCGACTGCCTTGGTGATATTTCATTCATGGTGGATATTTTTGGCATTAATTTTGATCTGCTAACACATTGTGCTACTTCATATATTGCTCCAGAGACGTGAGCCCTGAATGACTCTTATTTTCATTTCACAGACCATGCAGCTGGTGCCCCAAGAGGGAGCCCCCTTGCTTAAGTCCTCCAGGAGGGCGATGGAGGAGATGGCATTCAAACCACCCTCATGGATGCCAAGGTATGCATTTGTTCTCTCTGCCTCCAGTGGCAGTTTGCTACAGCTGTGAAGACGCTGGGCAGGATTTGGGTCTCCAGGGCATTTTCAGTAATGTTAGATCATGGCTATAATCCCAGCACTTTGGGAGGCTCAGGTGGGGGGATGGCTTCCTGTCAGGAACCTTCCAAGTTCCAGCCTTGAACTCAACACGGTGAGACCCCATCTCTACAAAAAAAATTTTTTTTTTTTTTTTGAGATGAAGTTTTGCTCTTGTTGCCAGGCTGTAGCGTAATGTGCAATCTAGGCTCACTGCAACCTCTGCCTCCCAGGTTCAAGTAATTCTTCTGCCTCAGCCTCCCAATTAACCTGGGATTACAGGTGCCTCCCACCACACTCAGCTAATTTTTTGTATTTTTAGTGGAGACGGGGGTTTCACCATGTTGGCCAGGCTGGTCTCGAACTCCTGACCACAAGTGATCCATCCACCTTGGCCTCCCAAAGTGCTGGGATTACAGGCACATGATCACAGCTCACAGCAGCCTTGAACTCTTGTGCTCATGCAGTTCTCCCATCTCAGCCTCCCAAGTAGCTGGGACAACAGGTGTGCACCACCATGCCATGGCTATATTTTTTTTAAAACTTTCTTTTTTTTTTGCAGAGATGAGGTCTCACTATGTTGCCTAGGCTGGTCTTGAACTTCTGGCTCAAGAGATCCTCTCTGGCCTCTTGAATAGCTGGGATTACTGGCACGAGCCACTGTGCCCAGCTAGTAGAGTTGATTTAAAACTAGTTTCTTTTTTTTGCCTTTTGAGATGGAATCTCACTCTGTCACCAGGCTGGAGTGCAGTGGTGCAATCTCAGTTTACTGCAACCTCCACCTCCTGAGTTCAAGTGATTCTCCTGCCTCACCCTCCCAAGTAGCTGGGACTACATGCCTGTGCCACTACCATGCCCAGCTAATTTTTGTATTTTTCTTAGAGACGGGGTTTCATCATGTTGGCCAGGCTGGTCTTGAACTCCTGACCTCAGGTGATCCATCCACCGTGGCCTCCCAAAGTGCTGGAATTACAGGCATGAGCCACTGCTCCTGGCCTAAAACTGGTTTCTCAATTTCTCAACACTGCTGACATTTGGGGACAGAACATTCTCAGCGGCGGCTTCCTGGGCATTGTCAGATGTTGAATAGCATCCCTGGTCTCCACCCACATGATGCCAGTAGCATCTCCCACTCATGGCAACTGAAAAGGTCTCCAGGCATTGCCAGTGTTCCCTGGGGGCTAAGTGGTCCCCAGGTGAGAAATGCTGTTTGAAATAGTGCTTGGACGTGGAAGGACTTTGCCTCGTGGGAGGGGGTGGTCCTTAAGGGCAGGATAGGGTGGGAGTTTCATCAAGCGTTTGTCTTTCTTGCCTGGGTCGTGGGGCTGGGCATGGCTCCCAGCGTCTCCTCTGTACACCTGGGCTCAGGCTCAACTTACATGGGTAGGCCCCAGGGAACCCAGGTGTTCGAGAGGTTGGCTGGTCCCCAGGCTCCAACGCTTAGCACTGGGAAACCACAGTTGCTGTGGCGACCACTGAGCTCTCAGGACGAGGAGCGGGGAAGAGGACTCCCATACCTAGAGGAGACAATATCCAGAGGGCTTGTCAGGGAGGCCACTGTCTAATACCCTTCATGAGTGCTTGCAGACCTGGGAAAGCAGTGGAGAGGAGCTGATTGAGCTCCCTAGAGACGCTGGCGGGGGACTGTGGGTCACTGGGGGAGCCTCGGAAGGTGAAACAGGTGCCCCGCTCCTGATGGCTCTGCCCCGCTGGACTCCCAGGCTTCTGGCGTGAGGTCTCTGAACCCCAGACCCTTGCCAGGGGAAGGGTCATTTTGGTGGGTGGGCAGCAATGAGTGTGGGCCCCCTCAGCCCGAGTACCCGCCGGCGGCTTCTCCAGGGTGAAGCCGGCCCCCCCTCCCAGCACCTCTGCCCAGCAGTGTGACCATCTTCATCAGTTCCACGGCCTCAGGTAAGGTGCAGGGTATGGATGGGGGCTCAGAGGCAAGTGGGCACTCCCATCAAGCGGTGTCAGGGCTTGGGCATGGTTCCTGGAGCCCTTTAAGAGACCTAGATGCGAACCAGGTGCCGTGGCTCACGCCTGTAATCTCAGCACTTTGGGAGGCTGAGGCGGGTGGATCACTTGAGGTCAGGAGTTCCAGATTAGCTTGGGCAGCATGGCGAAACCCTGTCTCTACTAAAAATACAAAAAATTAGCCGGGCCTGGTGGTGCGTGACTGTAGTCCCACTTACTGGGGTGGCTGAGGCAGGAGAATTGTTTGAACCCAGGAGGTGGAAGTTGTAGTGAGCCAAGATGGCGACACTGCACCCCAGCCTGGGCAACAGAGCAAGACTCCGTCTCAAAAAACAAAACAAAGAAAAAACCAAAAAGGAGATATCAGCTAATAGTGTGCTGCGACATAGCACTGCTCAACTCCACATTCAGGGAAGTCAGTTGGCAGCTTGAAACTGACCAAGGTGGAGTATTTACACCATGGAAATTGGCAGATAATACAAACCAGATTTTAAAAAATTTGTTTTGGAGAACAGAGTATTATGGAGCATTTGCTGGGACACTGTTTTTTTGTTGTGTTTTTGAGACAGAATTTCTCTCTGTCGCCCAGGCTGGAGTGCAGTTGTATAATCTCAGCTCACTGCCACCTCCACCTCCCAGGTTCAAGCAACTCTCCTGCCTCAGCCTCCCGAGTAGCTGGGATTACAGGCACCTGCTACCATGACTGGCTAATTTTTGTATTTTTAGTAGAGACGGGGTTTCACCATGTTGAGCAGGCTGGTGTCAAACACCTGATCTTAGATGATCTGCCTGCCTTGGCCTTTCAAAGGGCTAAAATTACAGGTGTGAGCCACTGTGGCTGGCCACACCGCTCTATGTATATGTGCTCTCGTAGAGATTACAGCCTGGTTGGGGGAGGGACACAGGGACACATAAATGAAGTAATTGCAGCTCGTGGGCCAGGTGTGGTGGTTTACGCCTGCAATCCCAGAACATTGGAGGCTGAGGGGGAAGAACTGGGAGACCTCGATGTGAGTGCAGCTCAGGTAGTGACTCATGTGGGGGCCTCCTGGACCCTGTTTCCTCCTCAAGAAGCCCCACTGAGAACGCACACTGAGAACCCAACTTGATAGAGTTTCTGTGAGTGGCGTTTGATGTTGCAACTAACATTCATGACCAACAGGCTTAAAAACCGCCGGCATCTTGCCACAGCTGCACGACCCTGGGTGACGGGACCCTGCTCACCTCCCCAACCTTATCTCATGTGGTCACCTCCTTGTCCACCTGTTGTATCCACACCAAAACCCATAAGATCCAGTAATCCGCAAGGCCTGGGCCCTGTATCAGGACTGTCACCCTCATGGTTCCCTCTTCTCCTTATTCTGATCCTTTGGGTCTCAGTGCAAACACCCCCCTTCAGGGAGCCCCTCTCTGCCCCCCAATCTAAAGTAGATTTGTCCTGCTGAGGTGGGCGGATTGCTTGAACTCAGGAGTTCAACACCAGCCTGAGTAAGATGGCAAGGCCCCATCTCTACAAAAAGTAAAAAAAAAAAAAAAAAAAAAGTAGGCCAGGCGCAGTGGCTCATGACTGTAATCCCAGCACTTTGAAAGCCCAAGGTAAGTGGATCATGAGGTCAGGAGTTTGACACCATCCTGACCAACATGGTGAAAACCCATCTCTACTGAAAATACAAAAAATTAGCTGGATGTGGTGGTACCCACCTGTAGTCCCAGCTACTCAGGAGGCTGAGGTAGGAGAATCTCTTGAACCTGGGAGGTGGAGGTTGCAGTGAGCCAAGATCACGCCACTGCACTCCATCAAAAAATAAAAATAAAAATAAAATAAAATACATTTAAAAAAATAGGCTGGGTGCAGTAGCGCATGCCTGTAATCCCAGCACTTTGGAAGCTGAGGCAGGTGGATCACCTGAGGTCAGGAGTTCCAGACTAGTCTGGCCAACATGATGAAATCCCATTTCTTCGAAAAATACAAAAATTAGCCGGGGGTGGTGGTGCGTGCCTGTAATCCCAGCTACTTGGGAAGCTGAAGCAGGAGAATCTCTTGAACCCAGGAGGCGGAGGTTGCAGTGAGCCAAGATTTCGCCACTGCACTCCAGCCTGGGTGACGGAGCGAGACTGTCTCAAAAGAAAAAGAAAAAAGAAAAAGAAAGAAAGAAATAGATTTGTCCCTGTTATTCTCCAGTCCAGCCCACCCATGTGTTTTCAACAGCATTCTTCACAAACTGCAATTACTTTTAAAAATTACTGATTGATTGATTGTGCCTCTTGGTTAAGCATAAGGGGCACCCTGGCAAACAAGATGTGATGCGCTGGGCATGGCAGCTCCCTCCTGTAATCCCAGTGCTTTGGGAGGCCAAAGCAAGAGGATTGCTTGAGCCTAGGAGTCTGAGACCAGCCTGGGAAACATGGTGAAACTCCTTCTCTACAAAAAATTTTTAAAAATTATAGGGGTGTGGTGATGCCTCCCTGTAATCCCAGCTACTTGGGAGGCTGAGGTGGGAGGATTGATCAATGCTAGGAATTGGAGGTTACAGTGAGCTATGATTGCACCACTACACTCCAGCCTGGGTGAGGGAGTGAGACCTGTTCCTTAACAATTTTTTTTTTTTTTAAACAGGGTCTCGCTCTGTTGCCAGGCTGAAGTACAGTGGCGTGATCTCAGCTCACTGTAACCACATCCCGGGTTCAAGCGATTCTCTTGCCTCAGCCTCTCCAGTAGCTTGGACTACAGGCACGTGCCACCATGCCCAGCTAATTTTTGTATTTTTTAAAGTAGAGATGGGGTTTCACCATGTTGGCCAGGATGGTCTCAATCTTTTGACCTTGTGATCCACCCACGTCGGCCTCCCAAAGTGTTGGGATTACAGGTGTGCACCACTGTGCCTGGCCCAAAATATATATATATTTTTTCATTATCAAATCAGTGGTATAGCAGCAAAATATTTTTAAATATATATATAGTGCTGGGTACAGTGGCTCATGCCTGTAATATCAAAACTTTGGAAGGCCGAAACAGGAAGATGGCTTGAATTCAGGAGTTCAAGACCAGTCTGGGCAACATAGGGAGACCCTACGACATAAATAAATACCTATTTCGAATTTTTTCTTTTTTTTTTTTTGAGATGGTGGCAGCAGATGAGGCTTTAGTCATAGGCCAGGTGCAGTGGCTCAAGCCTGTTAACCCAGCACTTTGGGAGGCAGAGGACGGAGGATCACTTGAGACCAGGAACTCGAGACCAGCCTGGGCAACATAGCCAGACCCCATTCTCCACAAAAAGGGGGAAAAAGTCAAAAGTAAATAAATAAAAGCAGAGCTGTGCAGCTGGGAAGAACACCGGGCCCTTTCCACTAACACCCTCCATGCCCCTCCTTGCAGATATGGATGCAGAGAGGGAAGCCCTGCAGAGTGCCGCCTACCTGGAAGTGCAGACCTTCTGCCAGAAGCATGGCTTGATGTTTGAGGTAACCAGAGGTCACCCCGGGCTTCATGCTCTTCTTTTCTTTGAGATAGAATCTCACTCTGTTGCCCAGGCTGGAGTGCAATGGCACAATCTCGGCTCACTGCAACCTCCACCTCCGGGTTTAAGCAATTCTCCTGCCTCAGCCTCCCGAGTAGCTGGGACTACAGGCATGTGCCACCATGCCCAGCTAATTTTTTGTATTTTTAGTAGATATGGGGTTTCTCCGTGTTAGCCAGGATGATCTCGATTTCCTGACCTCGTGATCCTCCTGCCTTGGCCTCCCAAAGTACTGGGCCACCTTTTTTTTTTTTTTTTTTTTTTTGAGACAGAGTCTTGCTCTGTCGCCCAGGCCGGAGTGCAGTGGCATGATCTCGGCTCACTGCAACCTCCACCTCCCAGGTTCAAGCGTTTTTCCTGCCTCAGCCTCCTAAGTGGGACTACAGGTGCCTGCCACCACACCGGGCCAATTTTTTGTATTTTTAATAGAGATGGAGTTTCACCGTGTTAGCCAGGATGGTCTTGATCTCCTGACCTTGTGATCCACCTGCCTTGGCCTCCCAAAGTGCTGGATTACAGTTGTGAGCCACCACACCTTTTTTTCTTTTCTTTTTGAGATATAGTCTCACTCTTTTGTCCAGGCTGTAGTGCAGTGGTGCCAACTTGGCTCACTGCAACCTCTGCCTCCTGGGTTCAAGCGATTCTCCTGCCTCACTCTCTCAAGTAGCTGGGATTACACATGTGCGCCACCATGCCCGGCTATCCATGCTCTTTTAATGCTTTACTGTTGAGTCTTGAAATTCACAGTAATGTTTAAACAAGGGGCCAACATGTTCTTTTTGCACCGAGCCCTGCAGATTCTTACTTGGTCCTGGAGATCCAGCTGCAGAGGTAAAATTCCTTGGGATTATAAAAAGGCATGTGGGACTGGGCACGGTGACTGATGCCTGTAATCCCAGCACTTTGGGAGACCGAGGTGGTCAGATCGCTTGAGGTCAGGAGTTTGAGACCAGCCTGGGCAACATGGTGAAACCCCAACTCTACTAAAAATACAAAAATTAGCTGGCCCTGGTGGCTCATGCCTATAGTCTGGGTGACAGAGCAAGACCTCATCTCAAAAAAAAAAAAAAAAAAAGTGCAGTGGTATGATCACAGCTCACTGCAACCTTGATTGACCTTCTGGACTCAAGGGATCCTCCTGCCTCTAGCTTCCTTAGGAGCTGAAACCACAGGCATGCACCACCATGCCTGGCTAACTGAGGATGTTTCTACCTGCACACATCCTTGTGGAAACTGATTAACCGTCTTTGGAGTCTCAGTTTAACTTGAAGCTGCCTCCTTGCTATTTATGTGAATGATTTATTGCACCAAAGTTCCACTTGGTTGAAAGATGAAACGGGGCACAGTGGCTCATACCAGTATTCCCAATGCTTTGGGAGGCCAAGGCAGGAGGACTGTTGGAGGCCAGGAGTTTGATACCAGCCTGAGCAACATAAGATCCCATCTCTATAAATTTTTTTTAATGAGCCGGGTATGGTGACACCCACATGTAGTCTCAGCTACTGGGGAGGCTGAGGCGGGAGGATCACTTGAGCCCAGGAGTTCAAGGCTGCAGTGAGCTGTGATCAAGCCACTGCACTCCAGCCTGGGTGCTGGAGTTGGACACTGTCTTTACAAAAGAAAATCTGGGCCAGGCACAGTGGCTCACACCTGTAATCCCAACACTTTGGGAGGCCAAGATTGGTGGATCACCTGAGGTCAGGAGTTTGAGACCAGACTGGATAACATAGTGAAACTCCGCCTCCACTAAAACCACAAAAATTAGCCAGGTGTGGTGGCAGGCACATGTAATCCCAGCTGCTTGGGAGGCTGAGGCAGGAGAAGCGATTGAACCCAGGAGGTGGAGGTTGCAATGAGCCGAGATCATGCCACTGTACCCCAGCCTGGGCAACAGAGCAAGACTCCTGTCTCAAAAAAAAAAAGTAGTGGACCTTTGGGTAAAAAAGAAAAGGAAAATATGCATTATGGTTTGTATATTTATTACTAAGAAAGAAGCAGTGCTGGGAATTGCACTTTGCCCACTATTGATCATGAGACATAGTTCAATGTCAGAGGCACTGCGAAAGCGTCAGCACTGAAGACTGATGAAATGCCTCGAGCTCTTCTGTTTAATGCCCACGCCCGTGCTCTGACGCAGACGCTGTCAATATCCTTTCAGAGGCTGGTTCCTGATCCCTTTTCCTTTCCTGCTCCCCTAACTCATTGTTCCTCCCCCTTTCTTCTTGCAGTCACATTCAGTACTGCTGGCCTCTCACTGCTTGTCATAGGAATCTATGTGTCTTTCTCTCGGGGGTAAAGAATTCAGGGGCAGGGACTGTTCCCAGTCGTCTTTGTCTCCCTGTCACCCCAGCCTTCCGGGGTCAGCTTTGCCTACTTGAACCGAGCCGTTCTGCCCAGCCTCCCCCTGGAGAGCAGGCGCAAATGAACCACAAGCGTGCGGTTGCCAAGGAGACTGTTATGTCCAGTTTTGGCCGAACTAAACACCCTCTTTTGCAAGGAAAGCTCTGTGAACAAGTGTGGGCATGTCCTTGCTTTCAAAGCAACAGTTTGAAAATGGCCAAGTTCCTTTTTAAAAAAAGCTTTTTTTGTTTGTTTGTTTGTTTGTTTTTTTGAGACACAGTTTCACTCTTGTTGCCCAGGCTGGAGTGCGATGGCACAATCTTGGCTCACTGCAACCTCCACCTCCTGGGTTCAAGCAATTCTCCTGCCTCAGTCTCCCAAATAGCTGGGACTACAGGTGCGTGCCGCCATGCCCAGCTAATTTTGTATTTTTAGTAGAGACAGGATTTCTCCATGTCGTCCAGGCTGGTCTCAAACTCCTGACCTCAGGTGATCTGCCTGCCTCGGCCTCCCAAAGTTCTGGGATTACAGGCATGAGCTATTGTGCCTGACCTCTTTTTTGCTTTTATTATCCTTTTCTTTTTCTTTTTTTCTTGCAACAGGGGCTCCCTCTGTCACCCAGGCTGGAGTGCAGGGGTGCAAACACAGCTCACTGCAGCTTCTGCTTCCTGGGCTCAGATGATCCTCCTGCCTCAGCTTCTCAAGTATCTGGGACTACAGGCACACACCACCACACCTGGCTAATTATTATTATTATTATTATTATTATTATTGTAGAGGCAAGGTCTCTCTATATTGTCCAGGCTGGTCTCAAACTCCCAGGCTTGAGAGATCCTCCTGCCTCAGCTTCTCAAGTATCTGGGACTACAGGCACACACCACCACACCTGGCTAATTATTATTATTATTATTATTGTAGAGGCAAGGTCTCCCTATATTGTCCAGGCTGGTCTCAAACTCCCAGGCTTGAGAGATCCTCCTGCCTCGGCCTCCCATACTGCTGTGATTGTAGGCATGAGCCACTTCTCCCTGCCTCTATTTTAATTTTTAATTCACTTCCTTTTTAATTTTTATTTTTTTAGAGATGAGGTCTTGCTATGTTGACCAACCTGGTCTTGAACTCCTGGGCTCAAGCAATCCCTGTGCCTCAGTCTCCAGAGTAGCTGGGATTACAGGCGCACACCACCTCCCCAACAAAATGTATGTTTGTTTGTTTGTTTGTTTGTTTGAGACGGGGTTTGCTATGTTGCCCAGGCTGGAGTGCAGTGGCTATTCACAGGCGCGATCCTACTACTGATCAGCACAGGAGTTTTAACCTGCTCCATTTCCAACCTGGGCCGGTTCACCCCTCCTTAGGCAACCTGATGGTCCCCTGCTCCCGGGAGGTCACCATATTGATGCCGAACTTAGTAGAGACACCTGATCAGCATAGCGCACTACAGCCCAGAACTCCTGGGCTCAAGCAATCCTCCCACCTCAGCCTCCCGAATAGCTGGGACTACAGGCATGCACCACTGCACCTGGCCCAACTAAATGTTTATAAATAAACTGAATTTGGAGTTTAGGCTTACAGGCAATGCATGGACAGTGCAGAGTTCCCATACACCCCCATGCTCGGTGTCTTGTAACGTTTTTCCTAACCACAGCACAATCAACTACATTGTTTCAACTATGGCATCAACTTTAAGGCCAGGTGCAGTGGCTCACACCTGTCATCCCAGCATTTTGTGGGGCTGAGGCAGGCAGATTACTTGAGATCAGGAGTTTGAGACCAGCCTGGCCAACATTGTGAAAATTTATCTCCACTAAAAATACAAAAAAAATTAGCCAGGTGTGGTGGTGCACACCTGTAATCCCAGCTACTTGGGAGGCTGAGGCAGAATAATCTCTTGAACCCAGGAAGTGGAGGTTGCAGTGAGCTGAGATTGCACCACTAAGCTCCAGCCTGGGCAACAGAGCAAGACTCCATCTCAAACGAAAAGAAATTAGGCTGGGGCCAGTGGCTCACACCTGTAATGCCAACACTTTGGGGTGGGTGGATCACCTGAAGTCAGGGGTTCGAGAGGACCAGTCTGGTCAATACAGTGAAACCCCGTCTCTACTAAAAATACAAAAAATTAGCCAGGCATGGTGGTATGGTCCTGTAGTCCCAACTACTCAGGAGGCTGAGGCATGAGAATCTCTTGAACCTGGGAGGCAGAAGTTTCAGTAAGCCAAGATTGCACCACAGGACAGAAGGGAGGGAGGGAGGGAGGGAGGGAGGGAGGGAGGGAGGGACAGACAGAGGGAGGGAGGGAAGGAGGGAAGGATTGATCTTCCAGTGAGCTGAGATTGCTCCACTGCACTCCAGCCTGGGCAACAGAGCAAGACTCCATCTCACAAAAGAGAGAAATAAACATGGATACGTGACTATTAACCCCTCCCCGACTTAACTCAAATGTTGCCAGCTCTTCCATCTGTCTTTCCTCGTGGAGAATCCCATCCAGGGCACCCCATTGCATTTCATTGTCTTATTGCCCCAGTCTCCTCTGGTCTGCGTCAGTTTCTTAGTCTCCTTATTTCTCATGACCTTGGCAGTCTTTTCTCTCCCTCCCTCCCTCCTTCCCTCCTTCCCTCCCTCCCTCTCTCTCTTTCCTTTTCTTTCTTTTATTTCTCTCTCTCTCTCTCGCCCTTCCTCCTTTCTTTTCCTTTCGACAGGGTCTGGCTCCTGGACAGTTGTCCAGGTTGGAGTGCAGTAGTACAATAGTAGTACAAGAAATCACTGCAGCCTCTGCCTTCTGGGCCCAGTTGCTCCTCCTCCCTCAGCTTCCCAAATAGCTGGGACCACAGGTGCCCACCACCATGCCTGGCGTTGACAGGCAGGATATCTTAAAGAATGTCCTTCCCTCCAGTCTGGGTCTGTCTATTATTTTTCTCATGATTATCCTCATTTCTCATTTCTCATGGTTACGGGTTTGGTTCAAGTTCTTTTAATCCAGACATCCCCCTACAGGAAGAGGCTGTCAAAAATTTTCAAAATAAACTTTCTGCTTTTGTCAAAGGGAATTGAAAAAATAAATGACCTGTCACGCCACCTCCCTGACAGACTTGATGTTTCTATCTTCCAGGTTGTTGATCTGAGGTGGGGTATTCGGAACACTGAAGCCACTGACCACTTGACCACAGAACTCTGCTTGGAGGAGGTCGACCGGTGTTGCCAAACATCCATAGGGCCAGCTTTTGTTGTGAGTGTCTTGGGAGTAATGGGTTAGCCTTACTCCTCCGGGATATGCCCCCTGCTTTCTAGACAAACTAATTAGCAGAGGGAAATAGGTACCATTTCTGCTATTTTTTTTTTTTTTTTGAGACAGAGTCTTGTTCTGTTGCCCAGACTGGAGTGTGGTGGCACAGTCTTGGCTTGCTGCAACTTCTGCCTTCCTGCTTTCCAGTTTCAGGTGATTGTCTGCCTTAGCCTCCTGAGTAGCTGGGATTACAGGGACGTGCCACCACTCCCAGCTAATTTTTCTTTTTTCTTTTTGTATTTTTCGTAGAGACAGGATTTCACTCTGTTAGCCAGGATGGTCTTGATCATCTGACCTCGTCATCCACCCACCTCAACCTCCCCCACAGTGCTGAGGTTACAGGCGTGAGCCACCATGTCTGGCCCGTAGCTGCTATCTTACCTTATCCCTATGGCTTGACTCTGACAGACATTACTAATCGATCACAGCACTCTTTCTGCAGAGCTGAATGGGATCCAAACATTAGCAGTCAAATGGAAGCAGCAGGTGGCTTGGAGAGTAGAATATTGAAGCCAGAAGGAATCTTAGAGATTGATCTGGACTCTCTCCTACCTTCCCTACTCGCTCCCTGGGAGGTGGAGGTTGTATTGAGCCAAGATCATGCCACTGCATCCAGCCTGGGTGACAGAACAGACTTTGTCTCAAAAAAAAGAAAGAAAGAAAGAAAGAAAAAAAAATTCTAGAACAGGGGCCAGCAAGCTACAGCCTGAGGGGCAAGTGTGGCCCACTGTCTGTCTTTGTAAATAAAGCTTTATTGGCACACAGCCATGTCCACTTGTTTACACATTGTCTAGTGCTGCTTTCAAGCTATAATGGCAGAGTTTAGTCCTTCTGATAGAGACCATCTGACCTGTAAAGCTAAAAATACTGGCTATCTGACTTTTTCCAGGAAAAATGTGCTGTTCTCTGTCCTGGACAGTAAAGAGGAAAAAACTAATGAACAGTATCATGGCCAGGTGTGGTGGCTCACTCTGTAATCTCTGCATTTTGGGAGGCTGAGGCAGGTGGATAATTTGAGATCAAGAGTTCAAGACCAGCCTGGGCAACATGGTGAAACCCCATCTCTACTAAAAATACAAAAATTAGCCAGACATGGTGGCGTACACATATAATCCCAGCTACTCAGAAGGCTGAGGCATGAGAATTGGTTGAACCTGGGGGGTGGAGGTTGGAGCCAGCTGAGATTGTGCTACTGCATTCCAGCTGGGCAACAGAAGGAGACTCTGTTTAAAATAAAAGAGAAGGTAAAGGTCAGAGACATATTCTATTTTCTGAGGTCTGAGGTCTGCTTCTGAGACCTAAAGTGTCCCAACATTAAGACTGTAACAAGGGCTTTTGTAATTAGGAGTCAGAAATAGTGGGCAAAACTGATATATACATACATGTATATACATATATATGTATACACACACATATATATGTATATGCACACACATGCATATATATATATATATACTCCTTTTTTTGTGACAAGTTCTTGGAGTGTTGCCCAGGCTGGTTTTGATCTCCTGGACTCAAGCAATCCTCCAGCCATAGTCTCCTGGATAGCTGGGATTACAGTTATTCTTTTGTTCTATACTTCTGTTGTATGCTGGTACCACTCTATTTTATTTATTATTGCTTTAAAATATATTCTAATGTTTGGAAAACTCTACATTCTGCTTGTAAATCTCCTAAATTTCCAGTCTCTAAATTTAATTTTTCAAAGGAGCCCAATGATCATTTTGTTGAGTTTCCAAGAAAAGAAAAAAGGAGAGAGAGACTGACCATGGTGACTCATGCCTATAATCCCAGCACTTCAGGAGGCTGAGGTGAGAGGATCACTTGAGCTCAGGAGTTCAAGACCAGCCTGAGCAACATAGTGAGACCCCCCGGCCTACCAAAAAAAAAAAAAATTTTTTTTTTTTAAGGAAGAAAGGGAAAAAAATGGAGAAAAAGAACTCCAGGGGGAATTTGGTTTTGCAATCCAAATTGCAGGCAGCTGAAAGCACAGCGCAGCTTCCTGGTTGCGCAGGGAACCCGAGGGTGATCTCTGAGCTTCTCTGAGCCTTCCAGAGAAAGGCCCCATGGCCGGCTGACCTGGACTTACTTCCTGCTTCCCTCTTGAACCAGGCATCACCCCTGTACAGCCCAAGAGCCACGGCATCATTCTGCTCCATGACTGTGACTTGCGGGGGGCCTTCCAGAAAAATCAGAGATGTACTGGAGGCCCTTGGAGAGGTGTCTCTCTGGTAAATAAGTCATTAGGCAGCACCGAGGCCGGGGACAGCTCCCTAAGGTACTTCCTTTTAGAGAGGCTCTGGTCTCTTAGGCAGCACGGAGGCCGGGGACAGCTCCCTAAGGTACTTCCTTTTAGAGAGGCTCCGGTCTCTTGGGCCATCAGCAGCCCCAGTGTCTCCAGAGCTCTGAGAGTTGTTCCTGGTGGGAATTCTTTCTATTTCCCTTGCTTTGATCCCAAAGACTGGAGCCGTTTGTTTTGTTTTGTTCACCACCTGTTCCTTCGTATAACCTCTGGTTTGTGGTTGGCTTGTGTCTTAGTCTGTTTTCTGTTGCTTATAACAGAATGCCTGAAACTGACTAGTTATAAAGAAATGAGGCCAGATACTGTGGATCATACACGTAATCCTAGCGCTTAGGGAGACTGAAGCCAGAGGATTGTGTGATTCCAGGAGTTCAAGACCAGCTTGGGCAACATAGCAAGACCCCATCTCTACAAAAGAATAAAACAGTTAGCTGGAGTGGTGGCTCATGCTTGTAGTCCTAGCTGCTCGAGAGGCTGAGGTGGGAAGATCCCTTGAGCCTGGGAGTTCGAGGCTGCAGTGAGGTATGATTGCACTGTGGCACTCTGGCCTGGGTGACAGAGAAAGAGTGTGTCTCTTAAGAAGAAGAAAGAATAGAAAAGAAATTACTATTATTTTTATTTTTGAGATGGAGTTGCTCTGTTGCCCAGGCTGGATTGCAGTGGCATGACCTCTGCTCACTGCAACCTCTGCCTCCTGGGTTCGAGCGATTTCCAGCTAACTTTTGTATTTTTAGTAGAGACGGGGTTTCATCATGCCTGCTGGACTGTTCTCAAACTCCTGACTTCAAGTGATCCACATTCTTGGTCTCCCAAAGTGCTAGGATTACAGGCATGAGCCACTGTGCCCAGCCAGAAATTCATTTCTTAGGTTTCTGGAGGCTGGGCAGTCCAAGGTCAAGGGGCTGCATCTGGTGACAGCCTTCTTGCTACTGGGGTCTCACGGAGTCCTGAGGTGGTGCAGAGTATCACATGGCGAGAGGGCTGAGTGTGCCACCTCAAGTCTCAGTCTTTCCTCCTGTTCTTATAAAGCCACAAGTCACATTCTTGTGATAACCCTTTCATTGATCCATCCATTCATCCATTCATCCAGGAGTGGGTTAATCCATTCATGACGGCAGAGCCTCATAACCCAGTCACCTCTTAAAGGGTTTACCTCTCAACACTGTCACATTAGGGATTAAGTTTCAACAGGAGTTTTGGTTGTGGAGGGACAAATATTCAAACTGTACCACCTGGCTATGCCTTTTCCAACTTCTCTTGTTCATATGAGGCTGTTATTGCGGCAAAGGTCCCTGGAGCACAGCGTCTTCTTCAACATCCTATCATCACTGATTCCATTTATCCAGGTTTCTTCCATGCGTGCCCCTGGAGTATTCTGGTACAACTCAACAGACTGTGGAGGGGTGATTGCTTCTATTTCTTTTTTTGTTCTTTTCTCTCTTTTTTTTTTGGACTCCAAGCTGTCGTCCAGCCTGGAGTGCAGTGGCACGATCTCAGCTCACTGCAACCTCCACCTCTCAGGTTCAAGTGATTCTCCTGCCTCAGCCTCCTGAGTAGCTGGGACTACAGGCACGCGCCACCATGCCCAGCTATTTTTTTTTGCATTTTTAGTAGAGACAGGGTTTCACCATGTTGGCCAGGATGGTCTCAATCTCTTGACCTCATGATCCACCCACCTTGGCCTCCCAGGGTGCTGGGATTACAGACGTGAGCCACTGTGCCTGACGATTATTTCTATTTCATACTGGGAAAACTGGACTTTGGCTCTGGCCTGAAGGGCTAGGTCTCCTCAAGGTTAACTCTTTTTTTTTTTCTTTTTTTTTTTGAGACAGCATCTCCCTCTGTCGTCCAGGCTAGAGTGCAGTGGCATGATCTCAGATCAGTGCAGCCTCAGTCTCCTGAGCTTAAGTGATCTTCCCACCTCAGCCTCCTGAGTAGCTGGGACTGCAGCCATGCACCACCATGCCAAGCTCATTTTTGTATTTTTTTGTAGAGATGGGGGTTTCACCATGTTGCCCAGGGCTGATCTTGAACTCCTAAGCTAAAGTGATCCACCCATCTTATCCCAAAGTGCTGGGATTATAGGTGTGAGCCACCATACCTGTCCAGGTGAACTCTTTTGCCTTCCAGATTGCACCTACTCTGAGTGTGGCCCTGGCATTAAGACCAAAATTTTGGGCCAGATGCGGTGGCTCATGCCTATAATCCCAGCAGTTTCAGAGGCTGAGGTGGGTGGATCACGAGGTCAGGAGTTCAAGACCAGCCTGGCCAACATAGGGAAAATCCATCTCTGTTAAAAATAAAAAAATTAGCTGCACATGGTGGTGCATGCTTGTAGTCCCAGCTACTCTGGAGGCTGAGTCGGGAGAATCACTTGACTCTAGGAGGTAGAGGTTGTGGTGAGCCAAGATCACACTTCAGCCTGGGCAACGGAGTGAAACTTCATAAAAAAAAAAAAAAAAACAAAATTTTATGGCCTACAGACTTTTGTGCAGCGGGGCTGGGTGCGGTGGCTCACACCTATAATCTAAGCACTTTGGAAGGCCGAGGCAGGCAGATCACTTGAGGTCAGGAGTTCAAGACCAGCCTGGCCAACGTGGTAAAACCCTCTCTCTACAAAAAATGCAAAAAATTAGCCAGGTATGGTGGTGGGCACCTGTCATCCCAGTTACTTGGGAGGCTGAGGTAGGAGAATCACTTGAACCCGGGAGGCAGAGGTTGCAGTGAGCTGAAATTGTGCTATTGCACTCCAGCCTGGGTAGCAAGAGTAAAACTCTGTCTCAAAATAAAAATAAAATCTTGTGCAGCGGGATAGCCCTGTCTCCCTTCGCTGCCCCTCTTCTTGCTAGTGCCTTAGCTGCCTCTGCCCTTCCTACGGCAGCCTTGCTCCTTCCTGCCACAGGGCCTTCGCACATGCCACCGCCCCTGCCTGCAATGTACTCTGCCTGATAAACTCCTTTTCATGTCTGATTCTGCAGCTCAGGTGAATTGCCTTGACTCCCCAGACTATATGCAACCCATGTTGGGAAAAAAAAACAAAAAACCATGCCCTTTATTTATTTATTTATAGACAGAGTCTCACTCCGTTGCCCAGGCTGGAGTACAGTGGCATGATCTTAGCTCGCTGCAGCCTCCCAGGTTCTAGTGATTCTCCTGCCTCAGCCTTCCAGGTAGCTGGCATAACAGGCACACAGCCACCATACCTGGCTAATTTTTCTATTTTTAGTAGAGATGGGGTTTCACCATGTTAGCCAGGCTGGTCTTGAACTCCTGACCTCAGGTGATCCACCTGCTTTGGCCTCCCAACGTGCTGGGATTACAAGTATGAGCCACTGTGCCCAGCTGATACACATTTATTTAATACAATTATTTTACATGGCACAAAAACCGTCATAAGGAAATAAGGACCCACAAAAGCAGTTGGAGTCATTTACTTATATATTGAGTTGGACAAAGAATAGTCAATTGTGGCTGGGCACAGTGGCCTGTAATCCCAGCACTTTGGGAGGCTGAGATGGGAGGATCACTTGAGTCTGAGAGTTCAATACCAGCCTGGGTAATATAGGGAGACCCTGTCTGTACCAAAAATAAAATCTCAAAAATTAGCCGAGTGTGTTGGCACGTGATTGTGGTCCCACCTACTCAGGAGGCTGAGGTGGGAGGATCACTTAAACCCAGGAGGTCAGCCAGGTGCAGAGGCCCACGCCTGGGCGGAGGTGGGTGGATCATGAGTTCAGGAGTTCAAGACCAGCCTGGCCAGATGAAACCCCGTTTCTACTAAAAATACAAAAATTAGCTGAGAGTGGTGGTGGGTGCCTGTAATCCCAGCTACTCGGGAGGCTGAGCCAGGAGAATTACTTGAACACAGGAGGCAGAGGTTGCAGTGAACCAAGATTGCACCACTGCACTCCAGCCTGGGCGACAGAGTGAGACTCCATTAAAAAAAAAAAAAAAAAAACCCAGGAGGTCGAGGCTGCAGCAAGTCATGGTCGTATCACTGTACCTCAGCCTGGGAGACAGAGCAAGACCCTGTCTGAGGAAAAAAAGTGAGGTTTGAATCTGTGATTTCCTCTCTGCTAGGCCCTCATCGGTGATCAGTACGGCCCCTGTCTGGTTCCCTCGCAGATTGACGAGAAGGAGTGGGAGGTATTGAGGGCCCGGCTGACTGCCAGGCCGAGTGACCTGGAGCTGGTGGCAAGGCACTTCCGCAGGGAAGAGAATGCGGTTCCTCCCGCCTACATCCTGCAGGCACCAGGTAATGGGGAGGCCTGCGAGCCAGAGGAGGCCACCCTAACTTCTGTCCTACGCTCTGGAGCCCAGGAGGCCCGGAGGCTGGGCCTCATCACCCAGCAGCAGTGGCACCGCTACCACCGGTCAGGTGAGGCTGCAGGGACTCCCCCAGAGATCCACATGAAACCACGTGTTCAGAATTTCCATCTGCTGTTGGCAAAAATGCAGCAGTCTGCATTTCTTGCAAATGCCGAACCAATCAACCTCTGGTCCCTTGGCTCTGACTATTCACTATTTCACTGATCCAAGATAGTTCAGCCACGTTCCTGATCAATCTTGGTCTCTTAGGATCTTCTTCTCCTCGCTGGCTCTATCTTCTTGTCTCCCAGGGATGCCCCTGACATGGGTTGGGGGTGTATTAGTCTGTTCTCATGCCACCCATAAAGACATACTTGAGGCTGGGTAATTTATAAGAAAAGAGGTTTAATGGACTCACAGTTCCATATGGCTGGGGAGGCCTCACAATCATGGCAGAAGGTCAAGGAGGAGCAAAGGCACGTCTCACGTGGCAGCAGGTAAGACGGAGTAAGAGCCAAGCAAAAGGAGAAACCCCTTATAAAACCATCAGATCTTGTGAGATGTATTCACTACCACGAGAACAGTATGGGGGAAACCACCCCCGTGATTTAATTCTCTCCCACCAGGTCCCTCCCACAACACATGGGAATTATGGGAGCTACAGGTCAAGATGAGATTGGGGTAGGGACACAGGCAAGCCATATCAGGGGAAGCAATCCAGGTGACCACCATGCCAATTTGCCTGGGATGGAGGGGTTCCTAGGATGCAGAATTTATAGTACCAAATCTAGCAGGCTGGGCCCAGTGGTGTCCACCTGTAATCCCAGCATTTTGGAAGGCCAAGGCAGGAGAATCACTTGAGCCCAGGAGTTTGAGACCAGCCTGGGCAATATAGTGACACTTCATCTCTTAAAAAAAATTGTTTTTAATTTGCCAGACGTAGTGGTGTGCACATATAGTCCCAGCTACTCAGGAGGCTGAGGCAGGAGGATTGGTTGAGCCCAGAGGCAGAGGCTGTGTGAGCCAAGATCATGCCACTGCACTCCAGCCTGGGTGACAGAGAGAGACTTGTCTCAAAAAACAAAAATGAAAACAAAATTAGCTGGGTATGGTGGTGAATGCCTGTAGCCCCAGATACTCAGAAGGCTGAGATGAGAGGAGCTCTGGAGCCCAGGAGTTGGAGGCTGCATTGAGTTATGATCTTGCCACTGCACTCCAGCAAGGGTGACAGAATGACACCCTGTCTCTAAATAAATAAATAAATTAGCCAGGTGCAGTGGCTCACAACTGTAATCCCAGCACTTTGGGAGGCTGAGACAGGCAAGCAGATCATGAGGTCAGAAGTTCGAGACCAGCCTGACCAACATGGTGAAACCCCATCTCTACTAAAAATACAAAAATTAGCTGAGGGTGGTGGTGCACGCCTGTAATCCCAGTTACTCAGGAGGCTGAGGCAGGAGAATCTCTTGAACTTGGGAGGCAGAGCTTGTGGTGAGCTGAGATTGTGCCATTGCACTCTAGCGTGGGCAACAAGAGTGAAACTCCGTCTCAATAAATAAATAAATAAATAAATAAATAAAATACAGTCAACCCTTGAACAACATAGGGTTCATGGACTCTAACCTCTTGCACAGTCAAAAATCTGTATTAACTTTGAGTTCAGGAGTTCGAGACCAGCCTGGGCAACATGACAAAACCCCGTCTCTACAAAAAATAAGTTAGCCAGGTGTGATGGCATGTGACTGCAGTCCCAGCTACTGGGGAGACTGAGGTGGGAGGATTGCTTGAGCCCAGGAGTTGGAGGCCACAGTGAGCCATGACTGTGCCACTGCACTCCAACCTTAACTACTTAACTACTTACTCCCCCAAAACTTAACTATTAAGAGTCTATAATTGACCGAAAGTGCTACCAATAACATAAATAGTTGATGAGGCATGGTGTCTCATGCCTGTAATCCCAGCACTTTGGGAGGCTGAGGTGGGTAGATTACTTGAGCCCAGAGTTAGAGACCCGTCTGGGCAACATGGCAAAACCCCATCTTTATTTTTTTTTTTTAATTAAAATTAGCTGGGCATGGTGGTGCACACCTGTAGTCCCAGCTACTCAGGAGGGTGAGGTGGGAGGACTGCATGAGCCCAGGAGGTGGAGGTTGCAATGAGCCCAGATTGCACCACTGCACTCCAGCCTGGGTGACAGAGTGCGACCCTGTAACAAACAACATAAAAAGTTGATGAGGACATATTTTGTATGTTTCTATCTATCATATACTGTATTCTTGTGGTTTTTTTTTTTTTTGAGATGGAGTCTCACTCTGTCATCCAGGCTGGAGTGCAGTGGCATGATTGTGGCTCACTGCAACCTCTGCCTCCTGGGCTCAAGTGATTCTCCTGCCTCAGCCTCCTGAGTAGCTGGGATTGCAGGCTTGTGCCACCAACTCAGCTTATTTTTTGTATTTTTTAGTAGAGACGGGATTTCACTGCCATAGCTGGGATGGTCTCGATCTCCTGACCTGGTGATCTGCCCACCTTGGCCTCCCAAAGTGCTGTGATTACAGGTGTGAGCCACTGCTCCCGGCCCCATATCCTGTATTCTTACAATAAAGTAAGCTAGAGAAAAGAAAGCATTATTATAAAAACTGCAAGGAAGAGAAAATATGTTTTCTGTTGATCACTCATGAGCGGATCATCAGTCACAAAGGTCTTCATCCTCATCATCTGCACCTTGAGTAGGAAGAGGAGGGGTTGGTCTTGCTGTCTCAGGGGTGGCAGAGGCAGAATACACTTGACCTGTGTAGTTCAAACCCATGTTCGTCAATGGTCAACTTCATACAATTCAGTGGCAATTAGTACATTCACTGAGTCCTGGAGCCACCCTCCATGTCTAGTTCCAAGACATTTTATTTTTATCTATTTATTTATTTAATTTTGAGGGGACAAGATCTTGCTCTGTTGCTCAGGCTGGAGTGCAGTGGCACAATCACGGCTCAAGCAATCCTCCCACCTCAGTCTCCCCAGTAGCTGGGACCACAATCACGCCATCACGCCCAGCTAACTTATTGTTTGTAGAGATGGGATTTTGCCATGTTGCCCAGGCTGGTCTCAAACTCCTGAGCTCAAGCGATCATCCGGCCTCTGCCTCCCAGTGCTGAGGTTACAGGCATGAACCACTGTACTTGGCCCTCCAAGACATTTTCATCACCTCAGAAGAAGCTTTACCCATGAAACCCTCCCCATCTCCCATCTCCCAGCACGGGCAACCACCACCAATCTGTTTTCAGCCTCTATGAATTTGCCTGTTCTGGACATTTCATGTCAATGCAATCTCACACGATGTGGCCTTTTTTTTTTTTTTTTTTTTTTTTTTTGAGAAAAAACCTAGTCTGGAGTGCAGTGGCGCAATCTTGGCTCACTGCAACCTCTGCCTCCCAGGTTCAAGCGATTCTTCTGCCTCAGTCTCCCGAGTAGCTGGGAGTACAGGCACACACCACCACATCCAGTTAATTTTTGTATTTTTAGTAGAGGCGGGGTTTCACCATGTTGGTCAGGCTGGTCTTGAACTCCTGACCTTCTGATCCACCCACCTCAGCCTTCCAAAGTGCTGAAATTACAGGCGTGAACCACCACGCCCAGCCCTACTACGTGGCCTTTTGTGTCTGGCTTCTCTTACTCAGCATCATGTTTTGAGGTTCATCTACATTTTAACACCTATGAGTACTTCATCCATTTCAGTGGCTGAATAGTATCCCATTGTGTGGATGGACCATATTTTGTTTATCCATTCACCTGTTGATGGATGTTTGTTTTGATTTGTTTTTGAGATGGAATCTCACTCTGTTGCCCAGGCTGAAGTACAGTGCCCTGATCTCAGCTCACTGCAAACTCCGCCTCCCAGGTTCACGCGATTCTCCTGTCTTAGCCTCTTGAGTAATTGGGATTACAGGCATGTGCCATCATGCTGGGCTAATTTTTGTATTTTTAGTAGGGATGGAGTTTCACCATGTTGGCCAAACTGGTCTCGTACTCCTGACCTCAGATGATTCACCCTCCTCAGCCTCCCAAAGTGCTGGGATTATGGGTGTGAGACGCTGCACCCGGCCTGTTATGGATGTTTGGATTGTTTCTGCCTTTTGGCTATTGAAAATGGTGTTGTTATGAGCAAGGGTGTATTATATTTGTTGGAGTCTCTGTCGTCAGGTCTCTTCAGCAGATACCTGCAGTGGGATTGCTGGGTGCGATAGTAACCCCATAATTCACTTTCTGAGGATGACAGCATTGTTTTACAGTGTGGCTGCTCCTCACATGGAATCTCTGTGTCGCCCACCCTGAGGGGATCTTTGATTAATAATGCCTAAATCAGGCCGGGTGCAGTGGCTCATGCCTGTAATCCCAGCACTTTGGGAGGCCGAGGCTGGAGAACCGCTTGAGTTCAGGAGTTGGAGACCAGCCTGGGCAACATAGCAAGACCCTGTCTCTACAAAAAAATACAAAAATTACCTGGGCATGGTGGCAGGCACCTGTAATCCCAGCTACTCAGCAGGGGCTGAAGTGGGAGGATCACTTGAGCCTGAGAGGCAGAGTTTGCAGTGAGCTGTGATCGTGCCACTGCACTCCAGCCTGGGAAACAGAGTGAGGTAAGACAGAGTGTCTTAATATTAATAATAATAATAAATGGCTTAATCAGTGTGACTGTGGCTGGGCTCCATGGCTCACACCTGTAATCCCAGCACTTTGGGAGGCTGAGGCAGGTGGATCACTTAAGGCCAGGAGTTCGAGACTATAATGGCCAATGTGGAGAAACCCCATCTCTACTGAAAATACAAAACTTAGCTGGGTGGGGTGGCACATGCCTGTAATCCCAGCTACTCAGGAAGCTGAGGCAGGAGAATTGCTTGAACCGGGAGGCGGAGGTTGTGGTGAGTTGAGATCATGCCATTGCACTCTAGCCTAGACAACAAGAGCAAAACTCTGTCTCAAAAAAAAAAAAAAAAAATCAGTGTGACTCTGGGTGCAGTCCCCGGATGAGCAAGCCTTGGCTTGTTGTGAATGTGAACTCCGGGGCCCCTCCCAGATCTGCTGAATCAGAACTTCTGGAGGTGGGGGTCTTTTCGAGGCCCCCAGGTCGGACTCTGGTGCACGCTGACCTTGAGTACCAATGCACGACCCCCAGCAACAGGTCGCCCAGCAACCCCATTTAAGTCAGCTGCTGACCCAATAATGACCACCCTTCATTCCTTCCTTCCCTGCTTTGGCAGTCATTGAGTGGGAGATAGAGCGGGGCCTGCTGAGCTCAGAGGGCTGGGACCAGCGAGCCACTATCTTCCTTCGAGATATCCAAGACCTCCACAAACACGTCCTGGAGGACTGCGCCCTTATGATGGTGGACCGGCTCGCAGATGGCTGCCTGGACATGGATGCCCAGAGCCGTCTCAGCAGCCTCAAGGCTCACATCACTGACGTGCACCCCGGGGTCCTCAAGGCGCACTGCCTGCCATGGAGCCGGGATCTGGTGAACCCCAAGAACAAGACTCACGCCCGCTACCTGAAGGAGCTGGGTGAACAGTTTGTGGCAAGGGCCAATCATCAGGTCCTCGAACACCTCCGTGAGCTAGATGTGGCCAGGCAGGAGATGGCGTGGCTCTACCAAGAGATCCGCCACCACCTTTGGCAGAGCTCGGAGGTCACCCAGACTTTCTGCGGACGCCAGGAACTCCTAGCCCGGCTCAGTCAGCAGCTCAGGCAGGATGACAGCAAGCCACACACCCCCCTGGTACTCTTTGGAGTCCCGGGCATTGGAAAGACGGCCCTGATGTGCAAGCTGGCTGAGCAGATGCCAAGGCTGCTCGGGCACAAGACAGTGACCGTCCTGCGGCTGCTAGGGACGTCGCAGATGAGCTCGGATGCCCGCGGCCTGCTGAAGAGCATCTGCTTCCAGGTGTGCCTGGCCTATGGGCTGCCCCTGCCCCCTGCCCAGGTCCTGGATGCCCACACCAGAGTGGTCCACTTTTTCCACGTCCTCCTCCACACTGTCTCTTGCAGAAACTTTGAGTCTCTTGTGCTCCTGTTGGATGCTATGGATGACCTGGACTCTGTCCACCATGCTCGGAGGGTGCCCTGGCTGCCTCTTAACTGCCCCCCAAGGGTGCACCTCATCCTCTCGGCTTGCTCAGGGGCACAGGGGATTTTAGATACCTTACAGCGGATGCTCCCCGACCCGGAGGCCTACTGGGAGGTGAAGCCCCTCTCTGGAAACCAAGGCCAGGAGATGATCCAACTCCTGCTGGCGGCAGCGAAGAGGACACTGAGCCCCGTGCACACAGATTTGCTCTGGGCCAGCCTCCCGGAGTGCGGGAACCCGGGGCGGCTGAGGCTGGCCTTTGAGGAGGCCCGGAAATGGGCCTCCTTTACTGTGCCTGCCCCTCTGGCCAGCACCGCAGAGGAAGCTACGCACCAGCTCTGCGCCCGCCTTGAGCAGACACACGGGCGGCTCCTCGTGGCCCACGTGCTGGGCTACATTGTCTCCTCCCGGTGAGTCTCTGTGCTTTGAAACTCTTATTTATTTATTTATGTTTAATTTTTTTGTTTTTAGAGTTGCAGGTCTGGCTCTGTCACCCAGGCTGGAGTGCAGTGGTGCGATCACAGCTCACTGCAGCCTCCAACTCCCAGGCTCAAGTGATGCTCACGCCTCAACCTGCTGAGTAGCTGGGACTACAGGCGTACACTACTGTGCCCAGCCAAATATTATTTATTTATTTATTTGAGATGGAGTGTTTACTCTTGTTGTCCAGGCTGGAATGCAGTGCTGCAATCTTGGCTCACTGCAACCTCCACCTCCGGGTTCAAGCGATTCTCAGCCTTAGCCTCTTGAGTAGCTGGGATTACAGGCACCTGCCCCCATGCCCGACTAATTTCTGTATTTTTAGTGGAGACAGGGTTTCACCATGTTGGCCAGGCTGGTCTCGAACTCCTGACCTCAGGTGATCCACCTGCCTCAGCCTCCCAAAGTGCTGGGATTACAGGCGTGAGCCACCACACCTGGCCTGTTCATTTCTTTTTTTCTTTTTTGAGGCCAAGTTTCACTCTTGTTGCCCAGGCTCTAGTGAAGTGGCACAATCTCAGCTTACCGCAACCTCTGCCTTCCAGGTTCAAGACATTCTCCTGCCTCAGCCTCCCGAGTAGCTGGGATTATAGGCACCTGCCACCACGCCTGCTAATTTTTGTATTTTTAGTAGAGATGGAATTTCACCATCTTGGCTAGGCTAGTCTCGAACTCCTGACCTTGTGATCCACCCCTCCCCTTGGCCTCTCAAAGTGCTGGGATTACAGGTGTGAGCCACCTCACCTGGTGGTGCAGTTTTTAAATTTTTATTTTTAGAGCTACGGGTCTGGCTCTGTCACCCAGGCTGGAGTGCAGTGGTGCGATCATAGCTCACTGCAGCCTCCACCTCCCAGGCTCAAGTGATCCTCCCACCTCAGCCTGCCAAGTAGAGTGGCTGGGACTACAGGCATGCACCACTGTGCCCAGATAAATATAATTTTTGTGTCAACTATACTTCAACAAAACTTGGAAAATAAACAGATACATGCGAAAGAAAGAAAAGGCTGCCTACGTGGTTGCTTAAGCCAGTGAAGTCTCAGGGTTATAAATTGCAGTAAACCTGGGTCATGGTAGTCTGGGCCATTGCTCAGAGATGCTAGTTGTAAATGAGGAGTCCAAAGTAACATGCAGAGATTGCTTTTTTGATATAGCAAGAAAAGAGAGGGAAGGAAGGAAGGAGGAAGGAGAGGGAAAGACAGGAAGAAAGGAAGGGAAGAAGGGAGGAAGGAAGGGAGGGAGGAAGGGAAGAAGGGAGGGAGGGAGGGAGGGAGGGAGACAGGGAGGCCTGGTGTGGTGGCCCACGCCTGTAATCGCAGCACTTTGGGAGACCAAGGTAGGTGGACCACTTGAAGTCAGGAGTTTGAGACCAGCCTGGCCAACATGACGAAACCTTGTTTTGGCTAAAAATACAAAAATTAGCTGGGATGATGGTGGATTACAAATCTCAGCTGCTCAGGAGGCTGAGGCAGGAGAATCACTTGAACCCTGGAGGTGGAGATTGCAGTGAGCCAAGATTGTGCCACTGTGCTCCAGCCTGGTGACAGAGTGAGACTCCATCAGAGAGAGAGAGAGAGAGAGAGGGAGAGAGAGAGAGAGAGGAAGGGGGGGAGGAAGGAAGGAAAAGAAGGGATGAAAAAGAAAAGAAAGGAAAAAAGGAAAGGAAAGAAAAGGAAAGAAACAAGAAATAAGAAAAGATGAAAGAAAGGAAGGAAAGGAAAGAAGAAGGGAAGAAGAGAAGGAAGGAGAAAAAGGCAAAAATAACTAGCAGCAGTGAGGAAGGGGTTAATCGGAAGCTCTCAAACAGCCAAACTCCCTCCCCAGAGTTTGTCCTCTGCCAATTGGCAGAGACAGCAAGGAACGAAACTCTGCCTTTGCTGCAACCGGCCAAGAGCAGACACCCAGAACCACCATCCAAAATGCTGGGCGACACCACTTTGCCTCTTCTCGGTCTCAGGGGGACAGTTTTTTTCTTTCTCAGCCTGTGCCATTTCAGACCTTTGTCAGTTACCACAAATTAATCTAGAGGGTGTTGGTTACCCCAGCGAGGGGGTCTTTCTGCTTGTTTCTTTGCCAGAAATAGAAACACATTTATGCTAGTGTAAGAAATAAGAGAGTAGGTTGGGTGCAGTGGCTCACGCCTGTAATCCCGGTGTTTTGGGAGGATCACTTGAATCCAGGAGTTTGAGACCAGCCTAGGCAATATAGTGAGACCCCTGTCTGTACAACAAATTTTTTTTAAGTTGGCTGAGCATGGTGGTACATGCCTGTAGACGCAGCTACTCAGGAGGCTGAGACAGGAGGATCACTTGAGCACAGGAGTTGAAGGCTACAGTGAGCTCTGATTGCACCACTGCACTACAGACTGGGAGACAGAGGAGAGGGGAGCAGGGAGCGGGGAGAAGGGAAAAGGGAGGGGGGGAGGGGAGAGTGGGGCTTTATTCCCATGGGGAGTTTGGGAAATTCAGGGTCATTTTACAGCTGACTCCAGAGGGCATATCCCAGATTTGCCAACTGGCCTACACTCTAAGAGTACAAATACGGCCTGCTGTTGTGGCTCACACCCATAATCCCAGCACTTTGGGAGCCTGAGGTGGGAGAATTACTTGAGCCCACGAGTTCAAGACCAGCCCGGGCAACAAAGTGCAACCTCCTGCCCCAATGAAAAATACAAATATTAGCTGGGCGTGGTGGCGCACACCTGTAGTCCCAGCTACTCATCTGAGGCAGGAGGATTCATTGAGCCAGGGGGTCATGGCTGCAGTGAGCTGTGATCGTGCCACTGCACTCCAGCCTGGGCAACAGAGCAAGACCCTGTCTCCAGAAAAAAGTGCAAATAATGACTGGGACATGTTCTGGAATAGAGGCTGTGGCTCATCAGGCCATTCTGTTGAAATCAGCTTGGGGGAAGTGAGTTGTCGTGGAAACTGTCGTAAAAATCAGGGTCGTTTCTCCTATGAATTTATTTTTGTAGTCCCCATGTCTACAGAAATAAAAAAAATTATCAGGGTGTGAGTGTGTGCAGTCTCAGATACTCAGGAGGCTGAGGCTGGAGGGTTGTTTGAGCTCAGGAGTTCGAGGCTGCAGTGAGCTCTGATCGCACCACCGCACTCCAGCCTGGGAGATGGAGCGAGACCCTGTCTCTAAAAAAAAACAAATAATGGGACCAAGTGAGGTGGCTCACACCTGTCACCTCAGCACTTTGGGAGACTGAGGTGGCCAGATCATTTGAGGTCAGAAGTTCGAGACCAGTCTGACCAACATGATGAAACTCTGTCTCTACTAAACATACAATAAATTAGCCAGGCATGGTAGCGTGCACCTGTAATCGCAGCTACTAGGGAAGCTAAGGCAGGAGAATTGCTTGAATACTGGAGGTGGAGGTTGCAGTGAGCCAAGATGACACTCCTGCCTGAGTGACAGAGCAAGACTCTGTCTCAAATAATAAAATAATAACACATTCCTTCTCCCTTTGGGGTCCTCTCTGCACATCAGCTCTCCTTGCAGACTCTTCTTTCAGCAGCTTGCCTTGAGTCACAGTTGGCATCAAGAGCTCGTATTTCTGGGACCTGGTGCCATCTTGCCATCTTACTGACTTGTTCTTTGGGTCCCAATTCCAAAGTCCGAGGAGACAGAATCAGTTGGCCGAATTGGTGCTCTCTCTGGTCCAATCAGGAAAGCCAGGTGTCTCACCGGGCCAGCGCAGGAGGTGGTTATGAAACATGATGATGAGGCGGAGGATTCTGGTTGCTCCAGTTCCATGAAAATATGTCATGCTTATACATCAGATCCATGTGGTAGGATGGTGACAGCTTTTCTCTTGGAGCAGACCTGAAATCCTTCTAGTCCAGAGGTTGTCACCTCAGGATAGTTCTGCCCCTACCCAGGGGGCACTAGAAAGTGTCTGGAGGCACTTTGGGTTGTTATGACTGAGCAGGGTGGTGCTCCTGGTGTCTCTACTGAGTGGAGTCCAGAGATGCTGTTTAACACCCTACAGTGCAAAGGATGGTTCTACTTTAGAGAATGACCCAGCCCCAGATGTTGATAGTGCAGAGGGTAATAAATCTTGCCTTAGCATGAGAGACCCTATCCATTCATCCATCCATCAATCCCTCCCTCCCTCCCTCCTTCCATCATCTCTATCATCATCCATCCATCCATCAATTCATCATCTCAATCTTTCATCCATCCATCCATTGTCTCTATCTTCCATCCATCTATCCATCATCTTGATCTTCCATCCTTCTATCCATTCTCTCTAAATTCCATCTACCCTTCCATCCATCATCTCTAGCTTCCCTTTACTCATCATCTCTGTCTTCTATTCATCCATCCATCTATCCACCCATTATCCTGATCTTCCTTCCATCCATCTATCCATCCATCTATTCATCTACTCTTTCTCCTACCCATTATCTCTGTCTTCCATCCATCTATCCAATCATTCATCCACCCATCATCTCTATCTTCAATCCATCTATCCATCCATCCATTCATCCATCCATCCACCCATCATCTCTGTCTTCCATCTATCCATCCATCCATCCATCCACCCATCATCTCTATCTTCCATCATCCATCTATCTACTCATCATCTCTATCTTCCATCCATCTATCCATCAGCTCTACCATCTATCCATTCACCCATCATCTCTGTCTTCCATCATCCATCCATCCACCCATCATCTCTATCTTCCATCCATCTATCCATCCATCAACTCTATCTTCCATCCATCTATCCATCCATCAACTCTATCTTCCATCCATCTATCCATCCATCAACTCTATCTTCCATCCATTCATCATCTCTATCTTCTATCCATCCATCTACCCATCATCTCTATCTTCCATCAATCTATCCATCTATCAACTCTATCTTCCATCCATCCGTCTATCCACCCATCATCTCTATCTTTGATCATCCATCCATCCA